AGCGTCTTTAATTCGACCCTCCTCCTTGGCCCAGCGCCACAATGTCACACGGTGAACACCGTACTTGGCAGCCAGCGCCTCTGTGGCTTCACCCGCAGCTCGGACTTCCAGCACAGCCTATAAATGCACATATTGGAAACTAAAAATACATTTTCATTTACTGCGGAATGACTCTTGCTTACCTCTCGCCGTTCTTGGTTGGTGCACTGGGCTTTGGTTCGCATTAAGACGCTCAAATCCAAAATGCGCGGGAAATTAAGATGGATGGCGCTGGTTGGTTTTGTGGCATCCGATCTACGTTAAAATATTAACGACTTTTTACCTTTTTACAAATTTACTTGGAGGTAACATTTTACAAAGTTGCGTTTTATTCGTCGAATCCGGTAAGTTGCACGATATACTGACTACCATGAAAATGTGTTGAAAGCTTGAGTTTTTTCTCTCGGTATAACCAGCGCTTTTGCAGCTTCCAGATACTTATCAATTTCCCCAGTATACTTCTCCTCCACTGTTGCCTTGTCTTGAGGCTCACTGGATCCAAACATTCCATCGGATACTGGATTAGGTCTCGTCATTGGCTCTCGCTATGGTCTCTCATTATTGGATGTTACAAGGGTAACCCCGGCAAGTTCTGGGACAGCAAGCAAAACCTTTTTCGCGTTTCTTCGGCCTTTGCTAGGTTCACATGGATCATTCTCTTTGCTACACGGGGGTCCAAATAGGCGATCCCGTCAATAATAGAACATTTCGATTTGTCGAACCGCTTCCTGAATACGTGAAGGACGATACTTTTTTTTGACAATCATCCATGCACGGACCTCATCGACATATCCTTCACTACCGGGGGCGTTGAGCTTGCTATCAAAGATATGCTTATTCTTGATAACTGCTTCAATTGCATCAATACCAGACATCACAAGAGAAAGCGTAGGGTACACTTGAGCTCCCAGTAGTGTTGACACAGATTCAAACGGCTTTAGCTAGGCACACAAGCCGTCAATTGCCAACCAATCCTTGATTGTTGGCTTTTACAGCTTATTTCGTGTGTCGTTTAATTCCGTGAAACCTTCCTCTGAATGTTGATGCTGGCAAAATAAATCCAAGGCGTACTGCTTCGATGCAACATGGCTAACCAATTGTTTCAGCGAGTTGGACAGTCAATAACCAGTCTTATTGTCTCTTTTTATTTGCTGATTCTCGGCAAGGCGATTGTGCCATTTTGCAGATCTTCGAAAACATGCCTTCAGACTTCGTATATAGCAAACGATTTCACGCATGGTTCCATCGCAAATTCCTCCAACTCAAAAAGTACTTCATTAGCGAACGCCAATGCTTAATTTATTACCAAATCTCTAATTGGATCCTTATCAATTTGTTCACTATCGGTCAACTCTTCGTCATCTTCATACTCATTTGAAATTGAGTCCGGCTCGTCGATTACAACAGACACACAATCCGGAGATCTGTGTCGGATGACTAATTCTTTGCGAGTGCCCCTGAAACAACAAGATGGAGGTCGCGTGCAAGGCAGGGTGTATCTTCAAGTCCCAGAAGCCCTGCAGTTTTTCACAATGTTGGAGTCTGAATAATGAACAAATCATGTAAAGTCGTTCACTGAAAGACCCACTTTTTCATTACTTATTTCATTCCGGGTAGGTCCACGACCTCTAGCGTCCAACTTCGAGGCCAAGTTCTCTGTCACATAATGAATAGTGAACGAAATATAACTACGTGTACGTTTCTAGCTCTGCAAATGTCGCTTGTTATTGAGAAGTAGATACAGCATCTGGAAATATCGCCATGAACTTCACGTCTCAAATCACTTGCAAAAGTCACGGAGCAGCCTCGCAATTGGCCTCGCCTTATAATACTCGCACTTATATTTCCAAGATCGAGAGTAATATACGCCACA